GTTGCTAAGCATTCTTGTCGGAAATTTTCACAAACCCTTTTTATTCCTTGATTTAAAACAACTTTACAGGAGTCATATTCATCATTATATATTTGTATTATTTCTGATTTTTCGTCTTTTGTAAGAGAATCATCATCAAGAATAGTTTGACATCTAATTTCATATTCTTTGTCAATATCTGAGTGAGTATTTAATGCGAACACTCTTTGAAGTGTAGATAATTTCTTACGAAAAAAAGCCATAGAGCAATGAAAAAATAAATATTTGTGTACTGTTCAAAAAAAAAAAAAAAAAAAAAAAAAAAAAAAGGGGGAAAAAAAGAAAAAAAAATTTTTTTAAAGTTTAATTTTTTTTAAATTTAAAAAATTTAAAAACAAGCAAAAAAAAATTTTTGGTAAACTAAAAAAAAAAAGAAAGTCACACAAATCGTCTTAAACTTTATTAAAAAAAAAAAAAAAAAAAAAAAAAAAAAAAACGTGGAAAATCGGTCGATACTATTCGCTTAACGCTACTGGTTCTGTAATATTAGAACCTGTAGAACCAGTACGAATTTAATGGTACGATCTGCAATTTTTAAATAGAAATTTAATGTCAACTTTTTTAAAAGTAATTAACTTAGACATCAAGTCACGAGACTTTATAATAATTAACTTAGTCGTCAAGTCACGAGATTTCTCGCAACGACATTTAACGTGACCATGTTGAATAATCTGACAAATATGACGGAGGTTATATCTAAATTAGAAATTAATTATACAATTAGTTAGATTTATTATAATGATTCATTATATAGTAATTTTATTATATTTAATATGACATTTTATTATATTATTAGTAAAGTTAAATTGTATAAATATCCTGTACTTTTCCTTGAATTTAAAGATAACTCGAGATAGTGTTATGAGATAAAACCAATAGCTCAAAAAGGAGCATTATTAATTCATTTACTATTACCTTTTGCCGTGTCTTCACATAGGCGTGATTGTGATTAAAGTATTGTATTTAATTCGACGAACTGAATTAAAGTGTATAGTTATCTTGTACAGCGCTCAAACCAACAATGTCTAGTAGTATAACATATTTAAAGCATTGCATAAAGTTAATCGTAAGTTTCGGAATTATTTTTACGTACTACAAAATTTTTGACAGTCGCAAAATTTCTTTTGTTTAATGTTTTAAAGCCTAAGTGAAGAAAAAAACTAAATAACGGTCGTATATCAATTAACTTTGCAATATTTCGTTTTGCATTTATGTAGTGTTGCAATACTTAATGGAAATATATAATAAATTGTCGCAAGATGATTATTTCTCTTAGAAAATTGTCTCTGTCATTTAGATAGACCCTGGCCAAATTGTCCACATGTCAGAATTGTTCTTTGGCCTTACAACTTTTGTTATTATTTTTAATTATTAGCATTTAGTAAACGTGAGGCAACACTTGATCATTTTATTTTTATTATCATATTTATTTAAAATAAGAAACTTCTGCTTACCTTTTTTTTTTTTTATAAATATAAACGTACAGAACAGAGCGCAAAAAATATTTCCTATAAAATCGAAATTATCATATATTAATAGTTTAGGTGATAAGGTAAAATTTATAATGAAATCATTCGAAGATTGGTGATTTAAACTACTGGTAGTTTACTTCATAGCCTTAATTTACACGTGATGTTCTGCAAGGCACAAATTGATCAATATCACATATTGGCTTTCTCATAGTTGCTTTTAATCTAATAAATATATTGTATATTTTTCCCATATAGCATTTCGAGTGAGTGACATCAACAATAACACGCTGTTCAAAATAATTATGATTGTTTATGTAAAGCGACAGTTTGAGCGTCTTTTTTATTTTTTTTCTTTAATAATTACGTAATTATTTTATTTTATGCAATATTTTTCGTTTGGATAAACATCAAGGACCGATTGTTTAAAGAAATATTCAATATCATGAACCATATTGTCGGAAACTAAACAATAATCAATAACTTAAATCTCATTTTTGCAGATAGTTATCACAATAAAATCCTATATGAGGATAAGAAAGTAAAGCCAAAAGTTCTTATTACAACAATTCAAAAATTACAAATCGACCAAATAGGCTAAAACATTATTGCGGAGGCGCAGTAATTTCTTGTCATACGTCATCATTTTGTGCCGATCATTTGACGAAACTCCGAAATTTTTTGAATAAAACCTCATAAGGACTTTTGATACAATTATTTCCAAGCTTCCAAACCTTATATAATATGTTATTTTACCTGTTCTACAGGTTTACTTAGAAGCTCAAGCAAAGCTTAAATAAGTTACATATGTAGCAAACTGGTCATAAAAGCGTTCATAAAACTCCGATTAAATTACCTTTTATAGACAATTATTTTAAAAATAAGGGATTTCCCGTTTCTTGAATTTCTTTCCGAAAATCATTGTTTTCTAAAAAAAAAAGAATATATAAATAAGATGACGAGAGGGTATTCATTAGAACAAGATTTGAGATCATTAATCAATAACCCAAAATATAGTGACATAGAAATTATATGCAAAGATGAAAAGAAGTTACATGGTTGTAAAGCAATTTAGCCGCAAGATCTGAAGTATTTGACAGGTTACTTTATAGTAGAGTAGAAGAGAGTTATGAGAAACAAATTTCGTTTACAAAGCTTAATTCTTCAGGAATTGAAGTTATATTGGAATATATTTATACAGGAGTCGTTAAAGAGGAATCTTTAACCAAAGAAAATATCGTTGAAGCTTTTAATGCCGCGGATTATTTTCAATTACCGAGCCTTCAAGATTTTATCGTGAATACCGTTAAAGGTACTTTGGAACAGGATTTCAAAGATAATTGTTCGCCGGAATTGTTATCTAAAATTGTTGATAAGATGCCATTGACAGAAGATAATATTCTCTCTAATCTGTTAGTTGACACAGTTTCAGCTATTCCTTTAAATACTATTGAATTTGGCCGGCTATCTACTACGGCACTTCGTGTCCTTTTATCTTGTACTTATGAAAAGGAAAAACCATTTGTAACCCCAGAATATGAGGTTTTTAGATATAGTGTTATTTTAGTTGCAAAGCAGATTTCTAATGATGCGACCAAATCGCTTTTAAACCGATTACCAACCTTAGAACACATTGATAACTTTAAGCAAAATGATAATGAGATTATACCGGATCATCAAAAGGTTGCAAAAGGATTGGAACCTTTGATAAAATGGATTGATTTCAGACGAATTAAAGGCCAAATTTTAGCCAATATAATTGAGCCGTTAAACATTATCCCAGCCGATACTATGCTTAGTGTTTATCGACATAAGACAATTTCAAATAATGCAGATTTTAATGAAATTCGTGGACCTTTACCAACATTCAACAAATCTGGTTACATTTGGGATGAGTCGGCGTGTGGATCAAAACTTATTATTGAAGATAATGGGAAAGTTATACGAGCACAAAATGATTGCAATATTCATCAAAGTGTTAGATCTAAAGTAGCATTTGAAAATAAAGGTATTTTTGAATGGGATGTTATTATTGAGAAACATTTTACATACGCTTGGGTGGGAGTGTGTGCATCAGAAAATTTTGATTATGAACAATTTTCGGGATTTCAAAATGCTGGATGGATGTTGGGTTCTTCTGGTTACTTATATCATTCTAATAATGCAGGTAGTAAATATTGTTCTCCTTTTACGAGAGATAATTGCAAAGTAACAGTTCATTTAGATATGAATAAAAAGTCATGTTCATTTACAGTCAATGATGTAAAATATGACGCAATATCGGAATGGAATGACCTACCATCAAAACTTTACCCTGTAGTTTCATTATGTTATCCTGGTCAGTTTCGAATTCAGCTTCATTGAATTTGTTATTGAGAATATATATAACAAAACAAATTCTGCATCTTCATTTATAATAAAAATATTTTAATTGATTTTCTTAATTTCTTAATTTTGAGATTTAAGGATAGGATTATAGCCTATATCATATTCGTAATTAAATATTAAATTAAATTTTCTTTGGCTATAATCTTAGCTTTAATTATTTGCAAAATGCACAATTTTCTCAATTATAACTTACTCATTTGAAATTCATCGTTATGCATTAAGTCACCTTCGTTAATATGGAATTAACTACTAAGTTATATTTTTGGCTATCTACCTAAAGAAATGATTCAAGCATGATTTCATGCCAGAATAAATTTATTAAATCTGGGTGTTTATATTTCTCTTACACAAGCATATAAAGCAACTTCTATTCTACTTAATAAAATAAATAATTTAGAGAGATTTCAAAATAATCTTTCAAATCGCTTCACATTTTTTTCTTTAATTCAATTTTCTTTCGTTTTTTATTTAAAATAATGTGGCGAATATAGGTTTTGTAACAATAAGTATACTACAATGTCATTTTTTATATGTAACAATTAAGATGCGATTGAAACCTCAAAAAAAAAAGACAATTCAAAAGTGGAAATTTTTATAGTTATACCCCGTCGCACTTTTGATATAGAATATCGTAATTTCTCTAATGATAAAAATAAATGTTTTTTCTCCGGGATATTTTTAGACTGTTTTTTTTCACAGTAATAAACTTGTTCATAAACTTTAAATTATTTTGTTTATTAAATTTACATTATTGCCGATATTATCTGTTTTATCTATTCTAGTGCTTTAAAAATAACCTCTACTTTAACATTATTGCATTAACATTTTCAACATTAACTTGCGCAATTTTTGACGAAACATTTGTTAAATCTTCTTTTATTTCAAATGAATGTTGTTGTTGAAATAATTGAGAAGCAGTAATGAAACCTAAAATACGTAATTTTTTAGATTAGAAGTAAAAAAAAATAAGTACAGCAATATTATGGTACCTTGATTTTCAGATGTAATTTCCGTTAAAGTATTTCGTTTTTTGTAGGAAAATTATTAGAAGAAATTTCGATAGGATCATCCATATTTCTTTTTTGTGGAATAAGAAGTGAAACATTATTTTTTCTTTGTTGAACAGTTGAAGTTGAATATGAAGAAATGCCAGCAAGTTCCTGTGTCCTGTAATATCCATCTGTTCTGCATGAGATATACCAAGTAACATCCATAAAGATATTCCAGTTGAACGCATTGAATTATTGACAAGATTTCATCCCTTTGCATCAATTTACAATCAGCAATAATATTTATGAGCATATTATCATAAGAATGTTTTCCAAGTGTAGAATCACAGAACCAATTTCCATGATATATTTTTTGTGAAGTATTAATCCTTAAAAAAAACTCAGGAGTTTTACAATCTTTTGGTCTTTTAGATTGATATAATAAAATATCTGCTACTGGAGAATATTAATATGGTTGATCTGCAGGAATATAATTATGTCTACCAGCATTGTATGGATATTTGGTACCTCCTGTATTATTTTTTTTCATGAGGTATATTTACTTCAATACTGCAATCTTCATTAATAACGATCCAGAAATTTTTTAATTATTTTGGATTACCACCACGCAGATTACAAAGAAGTGTTAGCCAAAATCAAACACAATATGTAAGACCTTTTGGTATATCAGTTTGCATATTTAGTAAATTAAGAATAGTTTCAATTTCCCACATTTCAAGTGCATCAGTTTTCTTATGAGATGTATCTTGATTATTTTGAATTTGTTTAATTCGACTATCAAAAATTTCATGAAACCGTTTCCATTTATGCTTATTATGACATGAATATTAATAAGTCTAATTTGATAAAAAATATCAGATAACTCTCTAGCAATTGCAGCAAAGCCTACATGCAATGAAGAAGGTGCATATTCTTTTTTTTAGATTTTCTAACACTACAAAAGAATTAACAAAGCTGATTTTGCAATGCAGTATCATCTAATGATTCAAGTGATTCAGTCAAATTGGCTGCATTTCTATAAGCATTAAAAAGATTCATCCAAGTTTTTGTACTATCATCTGTATTAGTAATACGAGAGTAAGCTTGAATATTTTGTAAATCTTTATCAGTAGGAATAACAAATCGTTCATGTATTATTGATAATTAGTTCTTTTTAGTAGAATTATTTGATTTAGTTAATAATATTTCCTTGAAAATATCAATAAAACTATTAATTATTTTATAAATTTTAAAAAATGTAAAGATAATACCATCTTTATCTTATAAATCTTCAGATATTTGTTTAAAATATAAGTAAAAAAAATGAAGAAAATAATTTTTTGACGAAAAGAAAAGAAAGAAATAAACATTATGCATATGATCAAAAGTATCAAAAACTATAAATAATGATTGAACATGTGATAATAATAATGGTAATAATTATCACAAATCACACGCTTCTGAGTATAACTTAGTAATTTCATGAGGATCAGAATACTATAGTTTTTTTCTCTATAGGAAAAAAACTGCAATATTTCTAATCTCATGAAATTATATTAATTGTATTAGACTCCATTATTAAATTTACTTTCCACTAATAAGATAATAAATATTAAAATTAAGAAATTTTGAAAAAACTTTTTCTTTAAACAGGTAATTTTTTTAAACTTTAAAATTTAGAATTAGAATGTATTTGTACATGCATATTAAAGTTTTTTGTTTCAAAAGAAATAAATATATCAAGAAAAAAAAGACAAATAAATTAGTTATCATTTAAAAAATTAAATCTTAAAGTGATTCATTCACATGTTATGATTTTCGTATAATAGGAAATAGATTACTAATTAGTGTTCTACATGGATTCAGATCGATCTGAATCTAATTCAAATCTAATTTAGATTCAGATCAGATTCATATTTAGATTGGATTCAGATCTGATCTGTCAGATTTGAATTCAACTTTTTTAAAGCCGATAAGTTCCTTTTCAATAAAAAGGAACGAATTTTTAGACTTCTTTAAAGCTAAAAATTTGTTTCTTTTCATAAAAGGAATGAATTTTTGGATCTCTTTTAGAACCAAAAAGTTCCTTTCATTAAAAAGGAATGAATTTTTGGATCTCTTTTAGAACTAAAAAGTTCCTTTCATTAAAAAGGAATGAATTTTTGGATCTTTTTTAGAACTAAAAAGTTCCTTTTATTAAAAAGGAATGAATTTTTAGATCTCTTTTAAAGCTGAAAAGTTCCTTTCATTGATAAGGAATAAATTTTCAGACTTCTTTTAGAGCTGATAATTTGTTTTCTTTCATTAAAAAGGAATGAATTTTTGGACTTCTTTTAGAGTCAAAAAGTTCCTTTCATTGAAAAGAAACAACTTTTTGGAACTCTTTTAGAGCTGAAAAGGTTCCTTTTAATGAAAAGGAATGACTTTTCAGAACTCTTTAGAGCTAAAAAGATCCTTTCAATGAAAAGGAATGACTTTCAGAACTCTTTTAGAGCCAAAAAGGTTCCTTTCAATGAAAAGGAATGAATTTTCAGAATTCTTTTAGAGCTGAAAAGGTTCCTTTTTAATAAAAGGAACGACTTTTTAGAACTCT